TAAAATATTATCTAAATAATCAAAATTGTAAATACGATTCCAAACCAACTAATCAATAGTTAATCAGTTAAACTATTATAAAAATATAAATTAATATTTTTTTAATTAATTGATGAAAAATTAATTTGATTAGTCCAAATAAAAATAGATCAATTTTCGGAAAGATATACACAAACCAAAATGAGCTTTTATTTTTATTTATTTATTTATTTATTTTTTTATTTTTTGAAAGATAGATCAATTTCAATGGACACGAGATAAATAAGTAAAAGAATCTCCAAAATGTGTAATGAAATGATATTGAAGAGTGAGAAAATATAATACTAGTAAGCTTAGAATGATATATTTAAAAACAAAAAAGGAACAAGTGGAGACCGAAGCATATAAAAAACAAATGTATTCCAATAAAATTTTATACCTAAAACAATTTGGTCACTTCATACCAAAAATTGAATATCACAATAAAATTTCATATCAAATGAATTTCTCTACTTTATATCGTAAATTATTTTATTAATTTTCTTATATAGTAAATAAGATTTTTTTGAAATAAATCGATACTACTTTAATAATAACCAATCATTATATATATATATATTCTTATTTTAACATCAAACATTAATTAATGAAATGGACATTCCAAATGTCAATTTTAGAAATATTTATAAACAATGTTATCTTTTATTTCTATAGAATCAACTTTTAGATAAACAATTTATTCATAAGTCTATTTTTAAATTTGACACCAAACATAGATATTTATTCATATAAACTTTGTAATCCAAAAATCCATTTGAAAGATGTTTTCAAATATATTTTTTAAGTGTGATTCATGAATTGTCTATTTTATCGAGTTTGTAACCGTTAGATCAACTATCTGCGACTATTATATGATGATATAACAGTTACAAATCATGAAGACATAGTTCCGTAACGAAACTGTAGCATTTTTCTTTATATATTATCCGTTTTTTCGACACATGTATTGTACGGTGTACCAATAATGCAGCATTGTACCCCATGAAGGCCACAGAGAAGTGAATCAATCATGCATATGCCCATCGTCTTAAACTTCCATGATTTTTCATAAATGAATTAAACTTATCTAAGAAATTACAACGAAAGAAAAAAAAAACTGATGAAATAATTTATATTATTAATTATTAATATAAAAAATATCATACATCCAAAGTCCAACAACAATCTATACATACATACAAATGGTTCACAAAAGACAAAACCCGAACATTTTCACCTTTTGGCTAAATTTAAGTAACTAATTAAAAGCCGCCGCCAAATTCCCAATTCTCCCGCCACCGCCACGCTGGACCCCCGAATCCCCTCTGCAGTAAAACGGCGTCGCACCAGTCACCGGCACAAACCCCACCGACCGGCTCCCGGCCACCCCCA